CTCCAGCGCGCGGCGGGAGCAGCCGGTGCAGACCCCCCCGACAGCCAGCCCGTGCACCCTCCTTCCACCGAGGCACTGGAGGGTTCTCAGTGCCACAGCTGGTGGCTTGGGGAGGCTTTGCTGTTAGGATGTGAAATGGGTTCCTCTCTTTGCATGTGGTGATGGTGCGGTTCCCACAGTGTGTGGAAGTGCACTGGGACACCAGGACTGGGTCGATGGTTTCTAAGGCAAAGGCTGGCAGGTGCAAAGCCACCAAGAGGACAAGCCAGCAGGCTGGAGTGGTGACAGACACAGGGAAAGCCGAACACCTAAACTGCTCCTTGTGTGACCTCCCAGGCTCCTGTGTCCATCCGTGCGTCGCTCAGAGGCACGGGGCCGTTACAGAGCCAGGAGCTCGGTAGCGGAATTAATGCCAAGGACTTCACACTTCATTCCAGCCCGCATGAATGGGCTCATTGTAGGGAGCAGAGCGGCAGCAGCATGCGGATTACACGGCATCATGGCAGCGCTGGCATCATGCCACCCCGACCTTCGTGTCCCCAGCAGGGCAGCCAAGGGGCCTGGCCTGGAAGAAGGCAGCTCTTTGCAGGGGAAGGAAGGGGACCTCTAGACCCCAGGTCCTCACTCTGGAGCCCTGGGGGACAGAGCCTGCCTGTCCCAGTAGAGATGCGTCACTGTTGCATCTCAGCTCTTCTGGCTGCTCAAACACCTTCCAATTTGCCTGCACAAAATCAGGAAAAAAATTCTGCATTTGGACCTCGTGCTGGTGCAGCAAGGTGACGCAGGGACTGAGCACCTCTGACCCCACATGCCTCACAGCACGTTTCATGGTGGCCCCGTAGTCCTGATGTCAGGTGGGAAACCAATGGAAGTCAGCTAATTAGCATGAATGAATGTTGCCAAGATGAACCGTGCTTTTCCCACTAAGTGTGGGAGAGAGCCCGGTGACCTTATGCCCCATAAGGGGGCATGGTCCTGTCCCTCCCTCTGCAGAATCGGTGACCTCAGGCAGTGACAGGGGCTGCAGGGACGGTCACTGCTGCTCTCTGCCCCAGGGGCTGGGCTAAGTCACCCTCCAGGTCCGTGTGTCCTGTTCTCCAGCTTGTGCTGTCCCCCAGCCGTGCTGACACCCTGCTGACCACGCCAGGACAGGAAGGAATACCACAGGAGTGACAACGAAGAGCACAACTGTGTGCTGGGGACTAAAGGCTTCCTCCCGTTCATATCACCTCTACCCAGGGCCAGGAGGGAACAAAGGATGTGGGGCAAAGGGGGAGAATTTACTCCCTAGCGATTTTTTTCATTCTTGAAGGGTCTGGTTCTCATCCACAGCTTGCAAAAGCATTTCCTGCCGGCCAGCTGCCAAGGAAAAGTGGAACAGAAATAGCCCGGTGCTTGGGGGGTGCCATGGCATGACACAGTGCCTCCCAGGTGTGACCCAACCTGGCAGCAGCAGAGCCCAGGGAACGCAGGATGTTTCTGGAGTGCAGTTTGTGCCCTAGTAGCAGGGGAACAGCCCCATGCAAAGGTGAACTCACCGCTGCAGGGCTGCTGGGGGGAGTCGTCCAACACTCCGCATCAGGACCTCTCTTCCCAGACACCGAAGTCATGGCTTTGCTTTTCCCTTGTAGGACGTGTCTCGAAAGCATCACACCTGGAAGGAGCAGAGTCCTTGGCTGTCTTCGTTGGTGAATGCTGTGGGGACTGGTGTGCCTGCCAAGGGCTTCCCTGCAGGCACAGATGAGCAGGCAGCACGCTGGAACCCACCCCGCTGCGGCGTACCGGCCCTCCCGGTGTCGCTGGACGGCCAGAATGGGCGGAACCGACAGAAGCGGTTTGTCCTCTCTGGCGGACGCTGGGACAAGACTGATCTCACCTACAAGTAAGAGAGGCCCGGAACAGGAGCCAGGCTGGTTTGCTTCTCCCTCCCCAAACCTCTCAGTCTGATGTTCCCTGGCGTGCAGGACACTGTGATGTGACCATAAAAGCTGGAGGGCAGCCCTAAAACTGGGTACGGCCACATGCTGAAGCACCAGCGGGGTGGTACCCAGCACCTCCGCATCCCCCCACGCACTCACTCCCACAAACACAGCTGCCCACCCACCCCTGCCCAACACGTTCTGCCCAGCAGCTGCGTCACCCTCGGTCAGTCCCGCACCAACACCCCCGTGCACACACGTTCCCTTCCCTGCATCAAACCCCGACATGTGCCGAGCCTCCGCCACCACCAGCCCCCTCCTGCTGCGCCTTTGCCCCCAAGGCCACCCCGCTGTGGGCTCACCTCACAGTTTGTTTTAAAAAGACCTTTTCCTTCAGCTGTTACTGATGTTCCCATAAACACCACTTCAGAGTTTTGCCCAAATCACCCCACACATTCCCAGTTGTGAACCTGCTCAACAGGCTGGTGGGAGGGCTGTGCTCCCTCCTCAGCTGCCCACAGGGGCATGAGTGGAGAGGTGAGACACTCGCATGGACTTTGACAGCATGTAAATCATCTTTTGTTTAATTAAGTGCAGCAGACCGTTCCCCATAGCGTTAGGAGGCTATAGGTAACAGAAAGGCTGCTTCAAACACAGCAGAGATGAACACACACCAAATCTGTTAATGGAAGGAAAGCAAGCTCCCTCTGCAGCAGACCTCCCCGTCTGCTTGTGTTGTAGGAGGGCAGCAGAGGCAGCAGCTGCTCTGAGCGAGCCCAGGTTTCCAGGGGCAAAAAATGCAGAGACTGAGGAGGAGAAAGCACATCACACCAATCCCAGGGACTTCTGTGGGGCTGGACTCACAGGGGACAGACCTAGGAGGTGCTGCAGCACTTCACTGCAGAAAACCACAGATCTGCAGAGCTCTCCAGAGCTCACCCCTGGGCCCACCAGCCAGAAGGTTTCAGCACTGATGGGATTTATCTGCTGCACGAGGGTGCTGGAGCAGTGCTTTTGTAGCCTGGGGATGTTCCAGTGTTGAGAGCGGCAGCCCTAGTGATGCTGATCCTACAGGTGGTGTCGTCTTGTCTGTGGGACAGCAGCTGATGTTCTCCTCATCCAGTGTCTGTCACCTTTCAGAATTATCAGGTTCCCGTGGCAACTTGTAAAAGCAAAAGTGAGAAGGACCATCGAGGAAGCCTTGAAAGTCTGGAGCGATGTGACCCCGCTGACATTCACCGAGGTGCAGGAGGGACGGGCTGACATTGTCATCGATTTCACGAGGTGAGCACGGCGGGCAGCAACACCCGCCTCCTGGACGGAGCAGCAGCCTCACAGGCAAGACCCCCAGCCTCTGACCAGAGCAGAGAGCTGCCAGCACACAACTTCGGCACTTAAGTGAAGGCTCGTATTTCTGCTTTCAGACACTAGGATTTTTTTTTTTTGGTTGGTTTTTCTTGTCAGTTGTGGGCTGCTCGGTGTAAGTGCAGCTGTTCCATGCTGGCTGTGCACAGCACCGTTACTGATCATTCATTAATTTTCCTGGCACATTTACATTTCTCTGCCCACAGGCTGTTTTCTTAAGCGTTTGTTTTGACTTTCCATCTTCAGGTCCTCCATCCTGTCCCTTGACTGAACGACGTAACTGTCTGCCCAAAGACAAATATAGTTTCTTGGTTAAATGAATCTTGGCTCCCAGCCTGAAATTCACTTTTGGCAAAATACGCACGGGGCCAAAGACTTCCCTCTGCTGCATGTTTGCACAAAACTAATAAAGGCAGTGGAGACCATCCAAGCAGTGATGCGATTTACATGCCGTGTATTTGCCTGTACCTCCCTCAGCTCCCTGCAGCAGCTACATCTCTCATGGGTTTCCTTCACTGTCAAGAGTGGGCTTGGCTGGGGTGAGGACCTGAGGGTTTGGCTGGGTTCGCTGCCGGCTGCTGCTCTGCATCCCCCCACTGCTCAGCTGTGCCAACTTCATCTTGGCTCAAGCAGTCACCTCCTAATTCTTGAGGCTGCATGGTCAGCTTTGGGCTGGGAGCTGAGCAGGGGGAGGAGAGAAACATCCCTGAGAAAACACATGAACTCCCCAGGGCTTGGTGTGACCGAGCTCTGCTTCCTCAGTGCCCCAGTGCAGAACCCAGTTTGCAGCAATCCAAAGGGCTCAGGACAGTCAATCTGGACTGGTGGGGTGAACTTGGGATGGGAGGGAGAGCTGCTGTCCCCTCGCAGCAGCTCCCCACCTTTGGCCATATGATGCTGTTCACAGGTGGTACCCAGCTGTTTGTCTGAGGAGCCGTGTGTCTCCCCTCCAGGTACTGGCACGGAGATAACTTGCCTTTCGACGGGCCCGGGGGGATCCTGGCACATGCGTTCTTCCCCAAGACACACCGGGAGGGAGATGTCCATTTTGACTATGACGAAACCTGGACGATTGGGAACAACCTGGGTACGGTAGGGTTTCAGGGGAGCTGTGGACATTCCAGGGTGCTTGTCAGGGCACTCGGAAATGATTCAGTTGTGGTGTGAACAGGGACCCTCTAAAACTGAGAGGCAGCAGTCATTTTTGTGATGTGCATTGTCACCTTGTACCACTTATAAACTTACTAGTAGTCTTCAGGTCTTTTCTTGTCACCCTTCAGCCACAGCAAAGCCTGTGCCCAGCACCAGGAGCCTGGTTCCCAGTGGGTTCCCCCTGCGCGGGGGGAGGAAGAGGGACACAGCCGAGAGACGGCTCCTCTGCCCAGCCGTGCACTCGGCCACTCGGGAATTGCACCCAGCATTGGCAGGAGCCACTGCAAATACAGCAGGGAAGGGATGAAGGAAAACCGAGGCTCAAGACCAACTGATACAGTTGTGTTCCAAAGGATTGCCTCAGCCCCAGTCCCGGCACGCTCTGTTCACCGCCTGCCCGCAAAGTATTTTCTCTTTGAGCAAGTCCATAAAGGGAAACCACCTAGGCTCCAGCTCTGCCCCTGTGGCCTGGGAATGCTCAGACCAAAAAAAACACCACATCGAATCAAGACTCTTTTTTTACTTTTTTTTTTTTTTTTTTTTTTTTTCTAATAATAGATGCAAGCTGGTAGTGCTCTGCTTGGGCACTCAGGGTCTAGTGTCACAGTATCTCATGAGATACTGCAGCACCGCCTGGGACCATCTGGATCAGTGCCCAAAGCATCAGTTTCTGCAAGACCCACGAAAATTAACCCAGGGCAGACCCTCCTCCTCTTTCCCAGCTTATCCACAGGGACAAAGACGCAATTGCAAAGCTTGAGTTAAACCCCTGCCTCTCTGGGTTTCCCAAACATTTGCCCACATTGATGTTCAGGGCTCAGACGGGCTCCCCTAAATCCCCTTTATTGCCAGTTGTGTGCCAGCTTGAGTCTCTGCGTGGGGCACAGGACCGCCATGTCTCCGACCCTGTTCATGCTGACCTGAGACAAGAACCACAGAGCACCAGATCCTTCTGCAGAAGTGTTTCTGCTCCTTCGGGAAGGGTGGCCTGTGCTGGTTTTCACCCTCTGTTGGGGCTGCCCATGTTGTTGAAGAATTTCCTACATTCTCCCACAAAGACAGAGTTGGAGGCAAACCAGAAACTAAAAATGGATGCCAGTTCCCATCAGAATCCAGCCCTACTCCATGGCCTTTTCCCCCCCCGCCCATCTTCCATAAATAAATGTTGTGAAAGCTCTTTGCAGCTAATTGCCATTTAATATGCTGAAAAGAGCTTTACGATATAAACATGGATAAATCCTTGTCTCAGCTCTCAGTGAGACGGGGAAATCCTTAGCCTCATTTCACAGAGGGGAGAGCAGAAGTAGGAGGAAGGCTAAGGTGTGCCCCGGGGTCACCCCCGAGCTGTGCAGGAAGGGGGACTCCACGTGGAGGACCTCCTGCGAGGGACACGGTGACACTCCCCAGCGCAGCTCCTTCAGGCGTGCTGTTGTTCACCTCCCCCGGAGAATCTGACAAGAGCACAGCCGATCTGCCAACACTGGAAAGCATCGGGCAAGGAGCCTGCCAAACTAAACACAAGTGTCTGAAAGTTTGTAATAAATCACTGACAGAGAAATCCCACTTTCTCAGCTGACCTAGATGTGTCGATTTAATTGGATCAGTGCTGTGCAAATTCATCACTTCAACGTAAAGCTGACTAGCGGAGGAAGACAGGGGCTCGCCTTCCCCTCCACCCTTCCCAGGTGTTCCTCCCAGCTGCATCCCCCTGTCCCGTCCCATCCTGGTGCTGAGAAGTGACCTGTTCCCCGGAGCCAGCAGGGAAATCCTGCTTGGAGCAGCGATGCTGGCTGACTCACAGCCCTGCCTTTCTCATCGCTTGGGCTGCAGCTCGGAGGATTTCTGGCTGAAGGCAAGGGAATGAATACGCTGAGACTTGTCAACAAACATCCCCACTCACAAGCTTTGCTGCTTCTGCCTCTCTTCCAGCTCGCCCTGAAATTTATCAACTTCAAAATGGATCTATTGGGACTACATAACACCTGCCAAATGACACATTTTTGCATACTGAAATCTGCTTTGCCCCCTCTCTCCTTTTCTAGATGCTCCAAGGTCATGTATTCCTAAAACATCATCTCCCATAAATCTACTTGAGTCTGGTAAAAAAGGCTTAGGTCTTGACATTGGATAATTTTTTATGGATTTATTTCTAAATGTCACCTTCTTGCTACACACACAATCAATAAATGAGCTCCCTCTGCTGTCTGTGTGACAACAGCCATTAGTATTCCCTCGCTGATGCTGGTATCTACCGCAGTGGACATGATGTAAATGGGACCGGACACGCCACAGCTGTAGCCAACAACTGCTCAAGGCTGGGGGGACAGAACCCAACCTTACCACCTGCCACCTACCTTTATGGGCCGGCCTTCCTTCTCCGTGCAAATTTCTCTTTTCTAAAAGTGTGTGAAAACCCTTTTCTGCCTGGTAGCCGATGAGGCGCAGGAGCCCCTGCCGACGGAATTACAAATTACCAGCGTGCCCAGGTTAATACCTGAGTGTATGAACTCACTCCTGGTGCTCCTGAACCAGGGGATCCCCTAATTATGCCCTTTGACTCCTTAAAAAAACCACACAAACACGGTGTATAGCTGGGAACAACAACCTGCAAGCGCCATAGGGGAGGCAGATTCCTTGTGTCTCATGTTGGGCTCCTACAACATTCCTCAGTGTGTTGGCAGTGGCTGATAACTGGTGGAAGCGAGCCGGGGAGGCAGGCGTCCTCTCTGCCGGCATGGCTTGCCCGTCGCAGGCAAGCAGGTAAAAACATCTCTGGTTTTCCCTCTGCAGGCACTGACCTCCTCCAAGTGGCCGCTCACGAGTTTGGCCACGTCCTGGGCCTGCAGCACACGGCTGTCTCCAAGTCGCTGATGTCTCCATTCTACATCTTCCGCTACCCGCTCAGCCTGAGCGAGGATGACAAGCAAGGTATCCAGTACCTCTATGGGAAACCCAAACTGGATCCCGACCCAACCCCGACAGAGCCAGCAGAGCTGCCCCAGCCAGACCTCGAAACAAATGAGATCACCAACGTGGAGGTGAGTGACCAGCCTGTCCCTGTCCTCCCAGCTGTGGGGACCGTCCTTGCCGTGGGGCCAGCAGCAGGCTCACACAGGGTGTGGTGTCCATGTCACCCATCCACGCTGCCGTGCCCAGGTCCGGACCCCTGGCTGCAGCACCAGGCAGCCCGGGATGTGCGGGGAGGGGAGCTCTGGGCAGCACGTGCCCAAGCCAAGCTGGCTGAAGGCGGAACAGCTGGACACAGGGACCTCCCGGCCACTGAACCCAGCCTGGGTGAGGGGGCTCCCGCGTATCTCAGCACTGACCAGCCGTGCTTTGGCAGGCTGTGCAGCCCGACGCCTGCGACACAGCTTTCGACGCCGCGTCCACCATTCGAGGGGAGCTGTTCTTCTTCAAGTCTCGCTACGTGTGGCGGCTCCGGGCTGGAAAGCTGCAGGACGGCTACCCAGCTCTGGCCTCCCGCCACTGGCAGGGGATCCCCAGCTCTGTCGATGCCACCTTCGAGGACCCTCTGGGCAATATCTGGTTTTTCCAAGGTAAGAGCTGGACTGGGATCAGACGGCTCAGAAATGCATTTTCTCTACTGAGGGGTATTCAGGACCCAACAAGTTCCTGGGAGGAAGAACCTTCTGGGCATCCTCAGCAATCCAGTGATCCTTGTTATTTGTTTCCTTCTCTGTTTAAACTTTTTAGCAGATATTGAGGGTGGAAAAGGGAAGGAGGGGTCACTTTTAGAGACAGACACAATATCCCATCCTCCTCCTCTAGAACACAAACATTTGAGTCTCTGCCCTGGCAATGCTGCTGGCAGAGAAGGACAAAGGAAACCCATTGCTCCATGCCCTCAGCTGTCCTGGAAAGCGCTGTGCCAGAAGAGAGCCCCAGACGCTTTCACAGATTGTGAAACCCCTGAGCCTGTGTCCCCAGGGATGCCTGCTCAGGGGATAGACAGCATCTTCTCTGCCCCTCAGAGGCCTGGATGCAGAGCTTCTGTAGCACCCCCAGGCTGAACAAGCCTACAGGGAGCCCGTGCGCAGAGCCAGGCAACCTCCAGCCACGACAGGGACTAAAAACCCATCACCCCCGGCAGGGGAAACCTCCTCCTGGCCATCTCTGGAGCTGAAGACCAGCAACAACGCCCATTTCAGCTCCACTGTTTTCTTTAATGCTCTCTCCCAGGGTAAATTGAATATCGGGGATGCAGAATGACATAGGTAGGCAGCTGCCCTGGGCGTGCACGCCCCGTCTGCGCACTGTCAGACTGAGCACCGGCAGGCACACCACGCGGCTCTGTGGGCAGCCATCCTGCACAAACACAGCACTTAGCACCTGACCTGCACGCAGGGACTTACAGTGCTAAAATTGGCAGGCTCCTACCACGCATTAAAAGGAGATAAGGGGAAAGTATTACATGCCGCAGGCTAATTGCAGAGATTCCCGTTTTAATCTAATCTAGAAAAACACTTTCAGTCTCTATTTCAGCTTGGCAACTTCATCCTGGTTTCTGCAGCTTGCTCCTTCACAGCCACATGCCCCTTTTATGCCTGTGCATGCCCACGTACATTCTCCTCCAAGCGCCTAGCTTGCAGGATAGACGCTGGTCCCTCCAGCCAAGTCTTTTACATTCCCCAAACAGAGAAAAGACAGCTGCTAAAACGGTCCTTCTTGTCCCACCACTGACACCCTCCAGGCTGGAGTGTCCATGGCACCGGTGGGGTTTTTGCCCCTTGCACAGCTTTCCCTGGGAGCTCTGCCAAGGCACCAGCTCCCGTTTCGAGCTATCAGACACCAGAGAGCTTCTGAACCCTTGTCTGCCTTCTCTGTCTCCTCGCCAGATTCTCAGTACTGGATTTACGATGGTGAGAGACGGGTATCTGGTCCCACGCCAATCGTGGAGCTGGGCCTCCCTGCATCCCCCGTGCAGGCGGCTCTGGTGTGGGGGGCCGAGAAGAACAAGATCTACATCTTCAGTGGGGGCAACTACTGGCGCTTCAACCCTCACACCCGACACGTGGACAACATATACCCCCGGACCATGGCTGATTGGCGCGGTGTCCCCCAGGAGATCGACGCGGCTTTTCAGGATGAGTTTGGTCAGTGCCGGCAGGGACGTGGCCTGCTCTGGGGTGGGCGCTCAGGCTGACACCACTGTCCAGCTGGGGAAACTAGGCAGATTTAGACATTTGGTAGTAATGGACACTTCCCAGCTGTAGCATCCTAGGCAGCTGTCCTGGATGAATGGCTGCTTTTAGTACTCCCAGACGTGCCCCATGCTAAAGACAGCACAGCAGTGCCCCAGAAACACTGGGGACAGCCCGGGTGCTGGGGACAACACGCGCAGTGACTGCCTCTTTCCTTCCAAGGGGTGCAGTGGAATGGCTCCCCACTGCCTCAGAGCCTAAACCTCAGGGCAGCTTCCTTGTGGTAACAGACACTCTGCAGCAGGTCTTCACACGCTCGCTGTCATAGGTCCTAGACATCCTCTGCCCTCTCAGGGCCATCACTACATGGGTACAACATATTTAAAACCACCAGGGGTTTTAAAATCCATGCTGTTGGCGCTCCCGTCAAAACTAAAACAGTGTGAAAGCACAGCGTAAGCCACAAGCCTGGGTTAAAGTGAAACGAATCTAGCAGCATCTCCTGCCTCTTCCAGGCTCTCTTTTGGCCCTGCACGTTCAGCAGTGCGTTAGCCAGACAAATGCTAGGGAAGAGCTCACGGCTGTGTGAACCCCGTCTCTCCTAACCCTTCCTCTCTCACCTACAGGTTTTGCCTATTTCCTGAGAGGCCGAGATTACTGGAAGTTCGATCCAGTGCAGGTGAAAGTGCTGGAGGGCTACCCACGCCAGATCAGCCAGGACTTCTTCAGCTGCACACCCTCCTCCAACTCCTTCAGATGAGGGGGTGCCAGTGTCCTCCACGCTCCCCGTCCATCCCCCGTACCTCCAGCAGCCACATGGAGGGTTCCCTCTGCCCGGCCTGGCTTCCTTCCAGGCTCAGCATCTGACACAACGTGTGTCTGTCACAAGTGACAAAGTTTGCTCCTCTCCAGTTCCAGCAGCCCCAGTTTCAGGTGCTATCAATATAAAAACATCTGTCGTGCTCTTTGTAGGCAAGAGCAGCCGCTAAACCCTTAATGTGGCCACTCTGCCAGCAATGACCCCCCAAAAGCCATCAGGCCAGCCTGGAACAGGACCCCATCCCATAGAACGGATCTGATGGCATTGCCTGTGTGTACATAGCTCACAACCGCAGCTCTTTGCTGCTCCAGACACTGGCCAGGGAGAACTGCCACCAAGACACGTCCCTCAGCCCTGCACGGGTCTCTGAAGGACACGGACAGCCTGCGGAGGAGCGCGGCCGCCTGGCTGCTGCAGGGTCCCCGCGCCAGGGCTGCAGCGGTGACAGCCAGGACCCCGGCACAGCCCACTCGCGGTTTTCCGTTGTACCACTAGCGCTTTAGGATTTCGTACCGGTTTGTACATAGACAAGGGGCCCGCTCCTC